TCAGCAATAAAAAGCAACTAATTATTGATAAATGCAACAACACTGATGAATCTCAAAAGCATTATGTTAAATGAAACAAGCTAGACTCTAAAGATCACATTCTCTATGATTCCATTTATGTGACATTTTGGAAAAGGCAAACTAAAGGAACAAAATTCAGATCAGTAGTTGCAGGGGCTAAGGGTGGAGGGAAGAGACTGCCTACAAAGGGTAGCATAAGAGAAGTTTCTGGGACGGTGGAAATACTCTCCCTCAATTGTGGTGATGGTAAAACACTATGTATGTTCGTCAAAACTCACAGACCTAAAAAAAAGCATGAACTTCACCATATATACTTTGCTGAACAAACAAAAAAGACAAAAAACTGTTTGAAACATGAAACAAAAATAGGATTGAAGATTGATTACAAAAATGGAAATATTAAGGAAGTACTCAAATTATATATGGGATACAAATAAAATTCAGTGTACAATAACAGATTGACGTTCAGCAAAAACAGAAATTTTGGTATGTAGAATTCAATAATAATAAGACAAGCCAATTTTAAAAACTGGAAAAAATTTGAATAGAAATTTTACCAAAGAAGATAAACAAATGGCTAATATGCACATGAAAACATGCTCAAATCATTGACATTAGGAAAATGCAAATTAAAATCACATGGAGATATCACTATAATCAATAAGACTTAACAATGTCAGATATTGGGAAAGTAATGGAAAATCTGAAACCCTCTTACACTGCTAGTGGGAATGTAAAATGGTACAACTGTTTGGAAAACTGTTTAGCAGTTTTTTTAAAAGGTTAAACATAGACTTATCATTACACCTGGCAATGCCACTTCTAGGTAGATACCCAAGAGAAAAAAAAATGTCCACACAGAAAAAAATTGTACACAAATGTTCATAACAGCCACAAAGTGAAAACAATCTAAATGTCCATCAACTGTTGGACCTATAAACAAAATGTGGTATATCCATTCAATGGAATACTATTCAGCTATACAAAGGATCTAACTACATATATATAATATTCTACACGGATGAACCTCAAAAACATTATATTAAGTGAAAGAAGTCAGACCCAAAAGACTATATATTATTATATAATTCCATTTATA